GATAGGCTCATCTGGCCTATGGCTATCAATGGTATGATTGCCAAGAACAAAGCAGTTATGCTATAGCACCACCTTCTGGTATCAAACACCCAACCAAAACTGGACTTGTACAATACAGTCCTTCAACACCAAGTCCCCCAATCCAGATAGGAAAAAAGGTTTTGTAGGCTATAAAGAGGAAGCCTCCTGCAGATGCCTTCAGTCAAGGAATTTTGACTGGTTGGGTCCAGAAGAAGAGGCTTCTCTGCTGTGGCTCCTGTCCTTTGGAACATTTTGCCTCTCCTCCCCCCACCCCCCAAAGTGAGATCTGCTCCCACCCTCCTGACTTTCTCTAGAGACCTAAAAACCTGGCTCTGCCAGTTGGCTTGGGGCTCCAATGGGGGAGTGCCATCCTGGGGATGGTTGATGGACTAATAGCAGATCCTACCTCAACCCCTGTACTCTCCATCTTTTTAATATGTATGTATGTATGTATGTATGCATACATGCACGCTGTTGTATTCGGTTCTTTTCCCGTGTAAGATTGATATTGTCTTGGCAACATTTCGGCAAGGTCTCACTTGCCATCTACAGGCTGGTGTTTTCTTTTGTGTTGTAACAACCTGGGTGGTGGGTGGGGCTCGTTTGTTGACTAGGGCTGGTTTCCAGATGTCTGGTAGGCAGGAGGTATCGTCACGTTGATTCATGTTGTGGGGGGTTTTCTCTATTTCGATAGCTTCCATAATTATTCTCTTGTTGAAGTGTTCTGTTTTGGAGAAAAGGAACCAAATTAATCTCCAAAACAGAATACTTCAACAAGAGAATAATTTCGGCTTAAAGCATCAGCTTAAAGATTCATAGAAAGACAGCAGCTCTGACCACACTTTAAGCCGAAAACACCAGCCTGAAGATGGCGAGTGAGACCTCGCCAAAATGTTGCCATGTGTGTGTATATGTACACATATAAACGAAAACAAAATACTAAAACAAATACATATATAAATACACACACACACACACACATTGTTATATTACTGAATTATTAATCTTTTAGGCCATCCAGAATCACCTTGTGACTAGATGGGCAGCAAATAAATTTAATAAATTGATAAAAATAAATAAAATAAATAAATTGTAGTTAAAATCACAGATGGTCCCAAGAGAATCAATAGGCTCATGACCATTCAGTTCCTGCTTGTAAAGGGTCCTTTTATGGCTAGCTGTGTCTTTTGTCCTGCATCTGGTTTCCTAATATTCATTTTGCCGCCTTCACAACATGTTGTGGAGGACAGACCCAAAATGCTTTTATTAGGGGATAGGGGTTCAAAGAGTGAACTGGGTATCTGAAGTCAGAGCCATACTTGAGGCATACCTTTTGCTTCCTAAACCTATTAAACCTAATTTCAAATCGGCCAAAATATTATAATATAGACTTCCCTGCTTGAGCAGGGGGTTGGATTAGAAGACCTCCAAAGTCCCTTCCAACTCTATTATTCTGTTAATCCCTTATATCAGGGGTGTCGAACTGGCAGCCCGCAGGCTGGATGCGTCATGCACAGGTCACGCCCATCACAGCTCCGTGAAGGGGGAAAACATGAAACATCACATGATAGCAACATGATGCGTTGAGTTTGACAGCTGTGCCTTATATGGTGTCATCATAATCAGTCATGCCCCTGTGGTTTTTGAAAGCCAAAATAATGATCAAGGAGGTTGCCTCAGGTGTAAAGTATCAGCTGCTGAACTAGCTTATTATCTTGTGCTTGTAGTTACTTTCTCGGTAAGATATTTTTAACCTCTAGTACCAGCAAGACGCCTTCTCCATATTAGCTATAATACACAATGTAGCATAAACATCATAGATGGACTACAGGTAGCCCTCAATTTACAGTCATTCATTTAGAGACTTTTTAAAGTTACAACATCATTGAAAACATGACTTGTGATTGATTTTCACCCAACCGTTGCGGCATCCCCATCGTCATGTTATCAAAATTCAGACACTTGGCAATTGACTCATATTAATGACAGTTGCAGTGTCCTGGGGTCATGCAATCACCTTTTGCATCTTTGACAATCAAAGTCAATGGGGAAGCCTGATTCACGTAACAACCATGTTACTAAATTAATAACCGTAATGATTCACTTAACAAATGTGGCAAGAAAGGTCTTGAAATGGGGCAAGATTCACTTAACCAATGTCTTGCTTAACAACAGCAATTTTGGACTCAATTGTGGTCATTCATCGAGACTAACTGTACTAAATTATTCCTTGTTGAAGCCTGCATCCTTGAGACTTTAACAGTCAAAAGTAGTCTAATAAAACTAGAGTCGTCTACGTTTTTCCTATTTCTGCTCATAGATTTATGGATTGATTTATACTGCAAATTGCAAATTGCAAATTTAATGAATTTATATGCTGCCCAATCCCGAAGGACTCCGGGCGGCTTACATAAAAACAGTTCTAAAAAGTATACAAAAACAATTTAAAATAAAGAGGGAAAGCAAGTTAAAAAACACATCATGCATTCAATCTTAGTGAGGCTGGACCTCATTCATGAGGTCAACAGCCCCAGGCCTGCCAGAATAGCCAGGTCTTAGTAGACTTTCGGAAGGCCGAGAGGGTGGGGAGGGTCCGGATCTCTGGGGGTAGATCGTTCCATAGGGACATTATATATTATATATTATGTACATTATATGATTTATAGAACCTCTCATTTCACACACGTAACTTTGGTGCAGCTTATAAGGACAGAAAAAGACAGAAAAATATACAACATAACCCCAAGCACCCAAGAACAAACCATAACTCTACTCACAGGAGGAAAGAAAAAAAAACCACAACCATAGTTGTGTAGAATGTATCCAACTGTTTGATCAAAACGCCTGTGGAAACAACCATGCTTTCAATACCTGTCAGCTTTATCAGATAGAGAAGACTTAGAAACTGACATCATGCAGATGTAAAAGTACTTTTGTTAGTACAGGTATAGAAACAGCTTCTTGCACATTTGAATGTTCTACCTTCTTGTAACTTCCCGAGAATTGGGGGGTGGGTGGGATATATGAGGTGGTTTAAAAAATGATTTTCTTAGCTGGGCTCAAGTTCTGTTTATCTGGTTGTTGCTGTCAGGCCTGGAAGCCTTGGACCTTGGATCTTCAGGATTGTCACATTTAGTATTGTGGTAAACTGGGAGGGGGGATTGTTGGAGCTGGGGAGATACGTAGTCAAAATAACATTCCTTTCTACAAGAGGTAAGGCCACCCACCTTGAAGGGTGTAACTGGGGAGTATCTCCAGTTAAGATGGTGCATTGATTGGACCGTGTGATGGACCTATGGGTGCTGGGGCAGGGACCTGGACTTTCTTTTGGGTGGGGAAAACCTGGAAGCTTTCAGATTTGGGTTTTCCCAGATGTGCCAATATGACATCTCTAATAAAATGGATCTTTGAGGAATGCCTAGCTTCGGAGTCTTCTTTTGTTAGGGGGTGTTACTTGGAACCCTGATAGTTGCCTTGGTAGCAGATCTTCCCTCTGACCTTCAAGGCCATCGTGTTTATTTATTACATTGGGACCATCCAAATCTTGGGTGGATGCATGAGTGAGAATGCTGTTCCATAGGGCAGGTGCTGTCACTGAGAAGGCAAGATTTGGGGATCCGACAGGATGTCATTGTTTAACAGAAATTGCCTTGATCTAGTGTGATGAGCAGAAACAGACTGCATTAGTTGTGGAGCCCAAATCATAAAGTGACAATATATTTAAAACATTTCACAAATTTGTTACAGCCATCTACCAAGACATTTTTAAAAAGAATCATCTCTTTCCTTAGTTCAGATTGCAGCAGATCCAAACTGCTAGAAATCAAGAAGATGGAATAATAATGAAAAATAAAGCTCTTTCTGCTGGCATCATGATTAAAGAGCTTAATAATTAATTGAAGCAGGCCAGTTTTGATGCATTTTTTTCACCAGTGTCTTGCCTCTCGCTCCATTGCTCAGGTATATTTTAAAAACCTGACTGAATTCTGTTCAGAGGAAACAGGTTTTTGAGCATGATAATATTAACTGTCTGAGTCTTTCAGCATTCAAAATTGTACATTGACATTCAGTTAGCATCCATTGGTCAATTCCAATACCAAACCATAGTCATGAACAGCCTTCTAAGGTTCAATTCAGCAGGAACAACCATAATAACAACAACAACAAACAAAATAGTTCTGCAAATTCAGTTTTCGATAGATGTAAATAGATCAAATATTGCTTACATGTACTAGAAATGAGATAACCAAGTGTGTGAGAGTGCACACACAAATACACTGCTCGCCTTTGGTAAAACTGCAGCAAAAATTATGCCTTTTTCATTCTCCATAATTCTGAATAAAATGGTAGACTAGATCATAGACAAAGCTGGTGAATTCTATATTCCTGAAATCAAAATATTTTCAGGATGGGAAGGTCCCACAAAAATGAATTTGAATGTGTTTGCTCTAATGTCTTCTAGAATACCTTTGAAGGACACACAAATATTCTTTGATTTAAAAACATCGTTGCTAAGTTTTTTCCTCTAAGTATATTTAGCATTAAGAGTTGTTACTCCAGACTGCTGTCAGCACAAGATTTTATAGCTAAGTTTAAAGATGGCTCAAATAAATCTGCATAAATTTACACAGCAGTATATGGTGGTATGAGTGAGAGTGAGTGAGAAATAATGGATAAAGATCTTATAAATAATTGAGTCTTTATTGGTATACTAATGCCCACTTATTTTTCACAAAAAAAACCAAGGAACTAACTCCTGCACCTTGTAATAGAGAAGAGAGAAATTTTTTTTTTTATCAGATAATAAGGTCTTGCTTTCATTTGGCAAGCCAATTTATACTGAATGATTAGTTCTTTTCAGATGATAAGAGATTTGGAATTACAATTCTGGGATGGTATGTAACGTATGTGTTTCTTATCAGGCCTTGCTGAGGTGTTTACTCATCAAACCATTTTTATATTTTTGCAATTTTTCATAGCTTCGTGATTACTGTCAACAAGCTCCAGAGGGTAACGAACAGTGGTGCAACAGACAGGTGAGCATTTTTAAATGAACTCTTTGCCAACTTGAAAGTGTTAGTTAGACTATATTTTGTATAATTCCCAACTAATGTTTTTTGTATAACTCCCAACTACTATTGACTTGATTATAGCCCAGTGAAATTAATATTGTAATGTACTAATGTGCTAACGTGTAGCAGATTAAGGGAAGGAAGGAAGCATTGGCATCAATATTTGCAAAGACTCCACTTGTCTGGGAACCCAGCATGATTAGGGTTCTCATCTCTATTAGTATTCTACTTATATTCTAGAATATACCAGTTGTAGCTCCCATTGATGTTTGTAATTCATATTGGCAAGATTAAGAGACCAATGCCAATGTTCATGAGAGCATCAGGGGTGAGATGTAGACACGCTTTGCAAAAACACTACTTTGGTATGCTTTGCACAGATTTAATAACTATGACACATGAAAGATAAAGTAAAGCTTTGCACCAATTTAGTAACTAAAGTATGTTTAACAACATACATTTATCTGTAATAGACCAAACATAGTATATTTTTGCCCCAGAAATTTAGGCATATAGTCTATCAAAACAATTATTTGAAATACTATTTTGATATAGTATATCAAAATCCACAATTATTTCATAGGTTTATCCGAGTGATTCCAAGGGCCATGAAAAGACTGCCTGGACTATATTTTTGAAAGAATGCTTTTCCCAAAGGTGATTGTATAACCTCCAAAAGAATGACCAAAGAACAATGAAAATATAAACATTAATGGCATAAATAAATATCCATAGCCTGTGTTTTTATTCACAGAAACAAGTTTGTTTCCATTTTCATGTCTTATTCTCTTCTTTTCCACTTCTTCTTTATCCAATCTCAACATAACACATTTCCCTCCTTGTCTTTCTCTTCTTTAACGCAACAGGGCACTCATCCTAGGGCACTTATTGACTTCGGTTCAGCCTAAACCTTGGTCTGTTTTTTTAAAACTCTGAACAATGAAGGCTGTGGCCTGAAAATGTATTTGGGGAAAAGAAGAATGAAAAGAGGCAGTGCGGAAGAATTTACAACAAATTTGCTAAGCAGGATATAATACAGCATTATCCCATTGTCTTCTATGGCTTTTTATTCCTATGTGATTATATTGCTAATTTCATATAGGGATTGAAGCCATGCAATACATTGGGGACTTGCAACAGAGGATGTCTTTAAATGCCTTGTTCAGTGGAGAGAACTCAGTTCTTCATAAACGGGAAAGAATTGTCTCCATTAATCTTTATCAAGTGTGGTTGCTACATCCTGCTTTTATCTGCTCTGCTACATCAGTGACCATTTTTCCTTCTCTTTCCCCACTTCAAGAAAAGCCTCTGCTAAACAAGGATATTGCCGGATGGGTGTTTTTTTTTTTTTTAGCAATCTGACTCTTCATGTAACGTGCAGAATTGACTGGATGTCATTGCATATGGCTGGCTTCTTTTCTGTTGTGGGGTTATGCGGAAACCATGCACCACAGAGTACAGATTTGTAAACTATGAGAGACTGAACTTTTCTAAAAACACAGTACAACTTATTTTAAGGGGTATTACTTGCCCTTACCAGGCTGTTTTGATGCAGGCAAAGGGGGCTCAGGTGGGAGGGAGTGGGGAAAGTCAAGCACATTGGTTGCTCCTAGGGAAAGATGGGAAGGAAGTACTGGGAAGCCTGAACATGCTAATGGGTGATGATACACAGACAGGCTGGCTTCTCCTATTGGGGACATTGTAGAAGGAGAAGGGCAGAGCCAGGGGCTACAGCTGAACAGAGGAAGGGAAAGGAAAGAGCCGGGAAAATTGGGGATGGTTAAGCAGAGTGAGATGCTGCACTGGGTCAGCAGCTGGAGCGGCAGCGGAGGAGAAGATGGGACCTGTTGGAGGGTGAGGGGGGGGGGCAGGCTGGTGCAACATGTCATGTTGCATTGGCAGCTGGAAATGGGGTGATATATTAGAGCTTTACCCACTTCTTGCCAGATTTTGTTTCTGCGTCTGATTGAAATGATTCACCAGACGTACAGAAACACAGGAGTTTCTACTGACTTTAAAGGGTGTTGCTCACCTCTGCTACTTAGATATATGATATATGGCAATAAAATAAGAATGTCATCAATCTGAATTGAGCTTTCACTATGTCCTTCAGAAGAAAAGTTGAGGCATCAGTGTTTTCTGTTGTAGCAGTTTAAAAACAAAGAAAAAACTGGTGATGATGAAAATGTTTTTTCAGATTGAGAAGAGCTCTTTAAATACATGTATGTAAGAATTATTTCTCAGTAAATTACCTGCCCTGTCATTTTAAGACCAAGAAGAAACCAGATACCACTAATAATTATCCAGATCTGATGGGTACATGGGACCTTTTGCCATGTGTTAGCCCTTCCTTCCTTCTTTCTTTCCTTCCTTCCTTCCTTCCTTCCTTCCTTCCCTCCCTCCTTCCTTCCTTCCCCAAACTCTATTTTATCCAGGGATTCTCACATGTGACCATCTACAGCGGTATCTTATGTAGTTCATCCTTAACTACAGAAAACATGCCTAGAGCAGTATTTTCAAGCACCTGCATCTAAGCAGCTTTCTGAAGTGGTTCTCCACCATCATTTGAAGAGAAGCACGAACAATGGAAGAAATACTTTCAAGAGTCTGTTTTATTTATTTATATGTATCCATTTATACTTGTTTCAAATGTGTATGCCACTTCCTATGTTCAAATATCTGAGAGCTATTTGCAGCTACATCTGGAGAAGAATGATTATGCTTCTTTACTCCACCCTTTGGTGTCTGCTTGTGTTCAAAAATGAGCCAAGTTGCTTTTCCTCTGAAAAGCTGAGGCCAAAGGGCTCTTTCTGAAGGGGGGCTCTTCCCTTTAGCACAGGGTGAAGACACATCCTGCCACTAATCCTGCCTGATTAAGATGTGATGGACAAATTTTTTTTTTTAATCTACAGCCAAGAGGCACCCTTGGTTTTTTGTGAGTTCGGGAAGTGGAAAGCTGAAAATGATGCTGTGGCAGAAGTATTACCGCAGTTATATAATGTGCCCAAAACTTTCTGAGGCGTCACCAGGGGCTTTTATAAAGAATGTGTTAAATCTGTCACATTAGTGAAAATGGCAAAATTAGTTTGTGAAAGAGATTATTGGAGGACCCCTTCTGCTCACATCATAAAGCACCCATTAACACCTTGTGAAACATTAGCCATTAATCAGAATCTGGGCAGAATAAACTACCCACACATATCATTATCTGATCCTTAATGAAGCGATAATAAGAATGCTGGGGAGAAGGGATATTAATGTCTCCTAAGAGTCCAGAGCAGTGGAAAGGCTAGAAGCCAAGGTTTTTAATTTAGTGCCAAAAGCTTCCACTGTTAATAAGGTAGTTACTTATCCTCAGCCATTAGCACTGTTTGGCCACAAGTGTTCCACTTACGTAAATGAGCTCAGCCCTGAGAAGGTGCCAGCTGTTGGGCTGTTGATCCTCTTCCCATCTGCCTCTATTCCGCCTGGTGGAATCGGTGTCTAATTCATCCTACCCAACTGACGGTGCCATTCAAGCCATGGTTTTGTTTTCTTGTTTGGTCATGATGGCAGTATGGGATCCATCCTTCCAAAGAGAGAATACTTTGAGAACATAAACTGTCAGCCCCTGTGCCACACTTGACTTGACCTGTTTCACCTAACACTATCAAAGTCTAGCAAAAATACAGTAGTCTTTAACCATTTTTCTTTTTAAAAAATCACCCATTCCATATTTTGAAAGCATACAATCAACTTTAGAAGAGTGTTCTTCTTCTTTGGTCAAAGACTGAAGGACCACAAGTGTTTCCCCAAAAATAAGACATGGTCTTATTTTCTTTTGACGCACACACACCCTGAAATAGGCACTTGGCCTTATTTTCAGGGAGGTCTTATTGTTTTTGAGGTGCATCATGGCTGCTGCTGTGTTGCAATATTTTTGGGGAGGGCTTGTTATCTGGGGAGGTATTATTTTTGGGGAAACAGGGTAGAAGGGAGTAATGCAATTGTTCTCCAGTCAAAATATTTTTGCAGATTTTGGAACTTCTACAAAGCACAGCCTGAATGACATATGAAATAGACTTACATATAAAAAAACTTCCTACAATGGACCCCGAATCCTGGAAATTCTGTCAATATATCTATGGAACATAGTTGGCAGCAATAGAGACACGACTGGCACAGCTTTCTTTCTAAATGTTTTCTCAGCTTGCTCAGTCTTGCTCTGGGCATTTCTGCCAAACCCTAAGCAGGTGCCATTCTGCTTTGGGATCAATCAATGACAGGTAAACATAGATCTATCAAAGTGATTCTCAGCCTGAGGCTCTTCAGATGCACCAGGTTTCAATTAATAGAATACCCATCTGGGTTTAGGAAGGATGCTACATCACATTGCTCCCATTTCTGGGGGGAAATGGGAAAATGTTGCAAGAATATTTTAGAATGCCAAACACCAGAACCATGTAAGATATGCTACTCTTTTACTATTTTCCTTCTTTCCTTTCCTTTTCTTTTAGTTTCCTTGTATGGGTAATGTAGAAGCTGACTAAAGAGACTTGCCTATCTTTTCTCTACCTTGGCTATTTTAGAACAAGGTAGATTTTAATGTGTAGACCTATTTATGGACGTATATCCTATTTAGATGAAGAAACGCTCATAAGGTCATTCTAGAGTACTAGAATCGTCTGGTGCTCTATTTTTCTTACTCTGACACTTGCCTTTTTTACTATTTTTCTAAGTCACTACTCCTGCAGATGGTAAATAGAAATTAAACCGCTAATGCTTTACTATTGGATTAGTATTTATAGAGTTCCTGCGGTGCTGGCAGAACCAGTTTCTAGCAAAGCCATTAGTACCGAAATGAAAGGAAATGATTAATTCACATGTCTCCTTCTTCTTTTCACATAGAGCAAAATCACCAGGTACCAAAGAGTATTCTGTTGAGTATGACAATGACTTATGTGCCTTCAGTACAATAATTAAACCAATGACTTCCCATGACTTCACTCCCAGCCAGAAACTACCGAATGATGATATATGGTGGTGTGGATTCAAAAAAATATGAAACTTGGGCATGGGTGTTAGCAGAGCAGACTTTCACTTTCATTGTGCAAATGTCCTAGTTCATAAATTGCATTTGTAAGTCTCCCCCTTTGGTCACTTTTATTTGCAAAGGAACCCATGGAAGATATGATAGAAAACTTACATGGAGATTTTAATCAGCGGCATCAGAAGAATGGAAAGGATTAGTGGTGGAGTCTAGCTTTATCCCCCTGCCATCCCTCTTACACACAGTCCTTCCTATGACTTTTCTACTATAGAAACAAGAGAATACCCGGATTTGCTTACACCCTGTATGTTTTTCTTTCTCTATCTGTAATAACAGTAAGGGTTGCAAAACATGTACATCACGTTTCAAAAATGCATTCTGATAGTTTTGTTGTCCTTGACCAACTTTCCCCATTTCTAGTTTCACCTCATTAAAGGAAAGGAGAGTGGGGAAAAAAGATATTCAGAGAGGAGAAAAGCCAAGAGAACACAGCTGTGAAGTGTGCTTCAAGCAACAACGTCCTTTCATCTGTTTTCATCAGATTTCCTTTTTGAAAAAGGTGTTTAGTTTAATAATCAGTGAAATGTTCATTTTAAACACACACACACACACACACAACTTTAAGAGCAATGGGATTACCCTGAAGAAATAGCTGCTGCCAAGGCTTTGCGAATGAGCCTGAAATCACGCATGAACAGTATCTCCAAGGATTAACAAAGAACTCTGCTGATATAAAGAAACTGTTTTGGTGTGGGGGGTTTGTTTTTTTAAAAAAAAAGCTCTCCTGAAGCTGTTGCTGTGAGGGATACAGAAAACAAGGACACAAAATTGGTTCAAACCTGTGCAGGAAGGCAGATATAAGTAGGCTTTCACCCTTGAGTAGTTTTAGCAATACAAGCCTTAATTCCTGGTCCTCTAACACAAAGGTTGTACACTGAAACTTTGGCAAAAAAAAGCATCTCATTTGCCATTAACCCTTCATATGCCATTAAGTGCTTGAAGTGCACTATATTCCTTGGACGCTAAATGCAGTACAGTAATATGAAAAACAAGGGAAGGCTGCTTTGTAGTGCTGCAAATGTAGTAAGTACCTGCTAGGAATACTCTGTGTTGTATTAGGTAACCTGATGAGAGACCAAGTAACAAATATTTAGCATCCCACATACCCCAAGACCCCACACCCCAATTGAAAAGAGTTTGCTTATCCACCCTTCTAATGATGATATAGTTTTAGCATTATCTTGTAAATAGCAAGTTAAAAGTTGATGCTTTAATCTTACATCTCTTGATCAAAATGCAAGTATGAAATATTTAGAGAAGATACAACAATTAACCCTCAGACTATTTCTAGACTGCCTTTAAAGACCAAAATGTCTAAAAGAATATGTTTCATTTTTAATTGGTTTTCTACATATTGTTGGATTTTAAATTACATAATTTAATTGCGGAGGGTGATTTACTCTTAGGAATGAGACGGATCAGCTTTCAAATGTTGCCAGCTAGATGGAAGATATTTGCTCATGAACAGCTCTCAAATATTTGGGAAATGATTTTAGCCACCAACTCGTGAGCAAATCCTGATTACGTGGATCTATTTCCCAATGGCTGTTCTCTAAGCTAAGCAGCCTCTTGTCTCAGATGCATGGTTTCCATTATAGCTAAATGATCAGCTAAAGGGCATCTGAGTCATGCAATAATCACTGCCATGATCTCTCATTTATTTACTACAGCTTTTTTTTTAAAAAAAGTGGTCATAATAGTTAATAGGTGTTTCAGCAGGAGATAGCAGGCAAACATTTGCAGAATTGTTTTTATTTTAACTTCTCTGCCTTTGTCCCCAGCCTTTGGAGCATTCTGCTCCCCAAAGTTGAGGTGGGCCCCCCACAATTTTGGCCTTCTGGAAATGTCTGAATACCTGGCTCTGCCAAATTGTTTGGTGCCCAGAGGAGCATATGCAGCCATGGGGCAGGTTACTGCCTTGAAGGCCCGCCTCACTTTTAAATTTAATTTTGAATTTTAATGAGCCTGTTCTTGTTTAAACTGCTGCCTATTATAATATTTATATATAGCTTTTAGGTTTTTATGTCTCATTTGCACATTGTCCAGAGTCATTCTGTGAGGGAGGTTTTTTAAATGTGATATATAAATACAGTAATGCCGAAGGAGAAAAGCTTAGTTTTTTTTCCTAAGCATTTCACATTGTGCACTCAATTTCAGTGAAATGAAAAGATCTGCTGGCAGCAGATTTCCAAACACTTAATATACCAGCAAAAAGTTCTACAGCCAGCTGGATGTAATAAATCTTCAGCTCGTTTAAATGTTATTGATGGAAATCTGATGGAGACCTGGGGAGACTTAGGGTCCAGCAAATCTTTGAATATTTTCCAAGTTTAGGGATTTTGATTAAGGAAGACACCAATGTAGAGTCAGTGTGAGAATTGAACCAAATATTAATGTCCACCTTTTTTATTTAAATGGGGGCAGATTTGAGCAAGCCTATGGTTCCCAAGGACCATAAGATTACGCTCTGTGTGTATGTTAAAAAAGAGGGTACCAGAGGATTACCATTTTAGTTTGTTGCAAAGTAAGGGTAGAATGTTGTAGTAACCAAAAACTAAGTTGTGGTTAATTTATGGAATATTCAATTTACTATTTTCATTAAAGTAGCACAAGCCTCATTGAAAAATGAATTGGTATTCTAATTCACCCATTTTGCTGAACAGAATCAGCAACAATTCGTTTAAATGAATCACAATGGGTGACTTTCGTGAAAGTCAATTACGTTACACGTATGATCAAAAACTGATGTTTTGTTTAGCTTATCCAAGTGACCAGATGAACTTGGTGATGTTACTCCAATAATCAACTGCATTGTGCAATGCAGCAATTTGGCAACAGTTGCCTGTGTGGGTCTTTCTTGTCTTTGTTCTCGGGGATTAGAGGGGTTAATCAAAGCGACAGTGACTTCTGGCTTGATATAGTTAGAAAGGTCACAAACCTGAGGCTCCATTGTTTCCCAGTCAATGGTAAACTGATACATAAAATGCTCGCAGCTTCCATTCTGCACAATGCATTCCCCCATGAAATTATCAATCAGCAAGAAAAAGCCATTATGAAAGTTGTGAGCAAGGTCAAGGTTACATTAGTTTCAGCACATCTAGCCCATTTTTCAAACTCTTCTTCCAATAACAGGTCGTAATACTGAAATGGAGCAGGTGTTAAAAAATGCATATCCTGCCTGGATTTGATGGAAATTTGATTCTCAGTTCCAACCTCATTTGATGTGGACTCTCCAGCTGAACAAAGGAGACTTGGAGCTCTGAGTTTCCACCAGGATGAGTTAACATACAATGACAAGCTGATTTTTCATGTTGGGAAACCATAAGTATAGAGCTAATGCGAACCTGAGATCCCTGATCTGAAGCTTTTTCTGTTATTACTTTCAGTTATGGTGGGGAAATTGTTTCATATATGAATTTAGGCTGCATGTCCCACGGCAGGAGATAATAAACAATTCTTGAAGAAAAGGCTTTATTTTGCTGTGATACACAAAAGGTTCAGTGACACTGTATTAGCTTCAGAAACTGCTTCAGCAAATCCACGGGGAAAACGTTAGTACAGTATTGCTTCCATATGAAGCCATTCCTCCCAATGTCATGTCTCTCACAACTATGACTCTGTCTACACGTCTACAAGTCTGAATGGCAGGAAACTGTCCCATGTACATAGCAATAGCAATAGCAGTTAGACTTATATACCACTTCATAGGGCTTTCAGCCCTCTCTAAGCGGTTTACAGAGTCAGCATATCGCCCCCACAGTC